AGAGAGAGAAGCAGACTCCCTGCTGAGCTGGGAGCCCAACTTGGGGCTCTCTCCTAGGACCTGGAGATCATGACCTGAGTGGAAGGCAGACGCCCAACCATCTGAGCCACCCAGGCTGCCCCTAGAGTCTTGTTCTTGAGCTAGGCTTAGCATTTATTCTGAGTTATTTATGTTTCTGTTTTTATCAACACCTTAAGCTTTAGGAAACCAACTTTGAGCCACTTCTTTTTTTGATTGGAGATATAGTGCAACACAAGGAAAAGAATACAAATTTAATAGATGTAAACAAAAATATTCCAATGACATAAAAATGCTTCAGTTAAGATGATTTGTAAAGACTAACACAGGCTTTAGGGCACCTGCCTAGCTTTTAAGAATATAATAGTTATTACAATGAAGATGGTGAGATTTCTGTGGAAATCAGAATTAATCTTATATTTCATAATTTTGAAATATATGCAAACTACATAGATTCCTTTTTCCGTCTAAATATTCCAGACCACTGATGAACAACAAGTGATTTATAGACCATAATCTGATAAATAATGGCTAATAATGGAGTATTATGTTTGTTTCCTAGCTTAAATTTTATCTAAGTCCTAATATTATAGAGCCATTGAGCAGTATTTTCCTTAAGGATTTCATTATTTTTGAATCTCTCTCAATCTATGCTGTATTATTAGTTCTCCTACTGTCCTGGATCATTCCTATCAGGAACAGACAAGCTCTAAACCTAGAGCTTTTTTTTTTTTTTAAAGATTTTATTTATTTATTTAACTGACAGAGAGAGAGAGAGACAGTTAGAGAAAGAACACAAGCCCGGGGAATGGGAGAGGGAGAAGCAGGCTTCCCGCCAAGCAGGGAGCCCGATGCGGGGCTCGATCCCAGGACTCTGAGATCATGACCTGAGCCGAAGGCAGATGCTTAACCAACTGAGCCACCCAGGCGCCCCTAGACCTAGAGCTTTTGTTAACCATGTCACAACAACAAAAAGTATTAATCCCCACGTTCTTTTCCAACTATTATCCCATTTCATTCTTGCCATTTACAGCACAATTTCTCAAGAGTTTTCACTAGTCACTGTCTTCACTTCTTTCCCTTCCTAAATTCTTAATTTTTAAGTAAAGCTTCATAAATACTTGTAAAATATGCATAAAGTTTAGACGAAAGATAACAAACACCAGCTACTCTCCATTACCATTAATTTTGAACATACCCTAACTTTGAAGTTCCCTATACGCCACTCCCGGATCCAGTTTCCTTCTCTTCTCCCTTAGAAACAGTCACCGTCCTGAATTTCTTATAGTTTCCTGTATGTTTATATTCCTAAAAAGTATATTTCAGTACATTTTACATGTATGAAATTATACTGTATGTATTCTTCTGTGACTTTTCTTATTCAATCTTATGTTCCGGAATTTATTTATACAGTATGTAACTGTACTTCATTTATTTTCACCGTTGTATTCCATGGTATGAGTATTCTCCATTTTGTTATGGATAGACATTTGGGTTATATCTAGTTTGCTTGCTACCCCAAACAGTGCAGCTATGTGCAGTTAGGTTAAACTGTATAGCAAAGTCCAAGTTTTGGAAAGATTTTTCTCCTAATCTGTTGTGGATTAATGCTTTTATAAAATACACTAAAAATGTTTCAGCAATGTTAAATTGCTGTAAAAATTTCTAAATATGTACCCTTAATTTCTTTCTTTATCTTACTGTAGAGAACACTTGGTATAACAATGCTTTAATATATACCTAGCTGCAGAATACCTGGACCATACATCTTCCACTATGTATAGGCAATAGGCAAAAATTTTGTTCTCTCAAAATCACTAATTGCTAGTTGTTCAGATTAAACAGAAGATGATCTACTAGCAGTTTGTGACTTTCACTGTATCTTTTTTTCAGTTCCTAACATGCAGGGAATTTCAGACAGAGACCCCCAAGAGCAGTTAGAATAGGATGAACATTACCTCTTGTGTTACGGCCGCAGCTTCTGAGTGGGCATCCTCAACCTGTCTCTCTCAGAATATAAGCTAATGTTGCTTCTGTAAGCAAGAAGCCAGACTACTTTATATCAGTATTTCTCAAACTTATTTTCATTATCATTCCTTTAAGGAGCTGTTTTAGACATTTTTTCCCCTCTAATCATTCCTCCTCTTCTATGAAATTTACTACTGTAGATCAACAGTCTCTCTGTTTATGTACTGTGGCATTCGGAGGGCTACAACCGTTTTATTATTTTTAAGATTTTTTTTTTTTTTGTCTCCTAAGAACCAATTTTCACCTGCTTGGGAGTGGTAGGACTACCTTAAGAATGCATGATATGAATACAGATATGGTTCTGGCATTAGCGTACAAGCGTTTAAAAAGATAGTATTTAATTATCAGATAGGTGAATGAAGTGGGGAGCAAGGAAGACTCAATGTTAAGAAACTGTCCTACTGAAAATGTGCTTGATTTAGGAAAAGATCAACTTCTACTTAGACTCATGAATTGGAAAGTGAGGAATAGGCATTTGTCACTGTTTGACGGCATACTTTGTAGAAGAAATGTAGAAGTATGGATTGGAGGACAGTACAGTTAGGCAAGTTTGTAGATTTAGAATGCAAATTAGTGAATTGATGCCTATCTCCTAGGTAATTTTTGGTGACCCATCATGTGGCTCTGACTTCACGCCTATCTATTCTGTGCTTTTATTGGTGACTTAAGAAAACCTCAGATTTACAAATGTTGAGAGGAATGGTGAATAGGCTAGTTGACATCCTCAATCTCAAAAGAAAACTTGGGCAGGCTAAGTTAAGGACAGAAGTAAAGTATTGTAGTTGGGTCTAAAATACCAATTGTAGGGGCACCTGGGTGGCTCAGTCAGTGGAGCATAGCAATACCAAATATAAAAGAAACTTAGGGATTTAAGTTATGTTACTCTTTAAAGAAAAAAAGAGATTTATTTATTTTATTTATTTTTATTTTTTTAAAGATTTTATTTATTTATTTATTTGAGAGAGAGAATGACAGAGAGAGAGAGAGAGCACATGAGATGGGGGAGGGTCAGAGGGAGAAGCAGACTCCCTGCCGAGCAGGAAGCCCGATGCGGGACTCGATCCCGGGACTCCAGGATCATGACCTGAGCCGAAGGCAGTCGCTTAACCAACTGAGCCACCCAAGCGCCCTGAGATTTATTTATTTTAGAGAGAATGGGGCAGAGTGGTAGAGGGAGAGGGACAAGCAGACTCCCGGGTGAGCTCAGGAGTCCCACGCAGGGCTCAGTCCCAGAATCCTGAGATCATGACCTGAGCCGAAATCAAGACTCGGCTGTTTAACCAACTGAGCCATCCAGGTGCCCCAAGTTACGTTACTCTTAATTTGAGTGTTCTGAGAAAGTAATTAACATTTTAATCTGCATTAATTAATGTCTCTAGAATCTAGAATGTATGCTGGTCAAATCCCAACCTTAAATAATTATGTCAGGATTACACTTAGGGCCATATAAAATACTGCATATATTTAATGAGTCTACTAATATTCATGAAATACTTTGCATGTAGTTATACCACAGCCATTCTGTGGGCACTGGTCCATGAGTTTTAGACTTAGTTATAGTATGTCTGGATGTTTTTTGGGAAGAAATAGGTTTCTTTTCACTGTCAAGAGATGACTTTCTGCAAGGATGTTGACAAGGAGATGGTGATAATGACAACTGACAATTTTTTGAGTGATTCAGGGTGGGTATATCATCTGAAAGAGGGGTCAGCAAACTATATAGCCCACTGACCAAATCCAGCCAGCAAGCCTGTTTTTTAAGGCTCTCTAGCTAAGAATGTTTTTGCATTTTAAAGCGTTGTAAAACAAACAAAAAGATTGTCTCAGTGACCTTAGATGGCTTGTAAAGCCTAAAATATTTACTATCTGTCCCTCTACAGAAAAAAATATGCCAACTCCTGATAAAATATTGGACCAGTGATAGAGTGGATAACACTTTAAGATCTTTTGCAGATAGAAGACAGAAAACCAAGGATAAAAAACAACACAAATAGTTCACTATTCGGGTGAGCCTGGGTGGTTCAGTCCATAGACTCCTGATCTTGGGGTTGTGAGTTGAGCCCCCCGTTGGGGGTAGAATTTACTTGAAAAAAAAATTGTTCAGTATATAGAAATCAGGTGATTATATTACAAATTAAGTTTAAATTAGAGACTAGGGTTCAAAGCTATGTAGAAAATTGAAATTATAATCAATTTATTTTGGCAAAAGGAGACCTATTTATTAAGTAAACTCAAGAGAAATTTAGGATTAATTATAGATAGCAGTTACAGATTGCCAAATTAAAGCTAATGTTTTTTCCTTGAGCATAATGACTATTGGAAGGAGACATGGCCAGAAAGCTTGCTGGGGAGAAAAAGGACAGGAAAATACTAGTCTGGGACTAAGAAGTTATCATTGATAGCCTATAAAGGAGACAAACAGGAAAACCATCACTAATTATCTGCATATCAAAAGGGTTGAGTGTTGCTTTTTATAATCCATTACTTTATACTTAATCTAACCCCACGGACAAGCTTTTTACTGCTTTTGAGAGATCTGCCTTATTAGTAAGGAAATAGCACCACCCATGGACACTGGTTTAGAATGATGAGTGATGATCCTTTGAAGATGGTGGGGGGGGGGAGAGTGTCTGATGATTTGTGATTTTTCTTGTATTTTTAGTAACTGGGTGTTATTTTGATTTGTATTTATTTTCCTTTTTGTGGTAATGGATATTTTGAAGGTTAATATATCTTATTATAGTGACTTTATTCTGACGGTTTTCTTGATTTCCCAATCACAGGGTCTATAATTTATGGAATATTCTTTCTATAGATAATTTTATTCTCACATCCCCAATTGTTCTCCCAAACTGTAAGCTATCTTAGGTATCTGTAATTGAAGATGTTCCATTTTGTCTTTACATGTATTTGTTTACTTCTGGTTTATAACTAAATGTATTTTTTTTTTTCAGATGATTCTTTGGGATTGGGACTTAAAGCAATGGTATAAACCTCATTATCAGGTAAATATAGTAAATATCACTAATAATGCCGATAATGAAACTTTTTTTAAAATTGAAGTGTAGTTGACCCATAATGTTAGTCTCAGTATACTGTAATGAAACTTTTGACATTTTGTTATTTTTTATTTTTATTTATTTTTTTATATATTTTATTTTTTTAAAGATTTTATTTATTTATTTGAGAGAAAGAGAACATGATGGGGGTGGAAGGGCAGAGGGAGAGGGAGAAGCAGACTTCCTGCTGAGCAGGGAGCTGATGCGGGGCTCAATCCCAGGACCCTGGGATCATGACCTGAGCCGAAGGCAGATGCTTAACGATTGAGCCACCCGGGCGCCCCCCCCCAAAGGAATTTTTATATGTTAAAGTAGACTTACAGGATCCTGGTGGGGGTGGGGGAAGGGGGTCAGCTAGGATTGCCTTTTGCCCTTAGCAAAGTATTAGTCAGTTGAGTCTCTGGAGCAATGTCACTTTGCCTGTTTCAAGGACTTGTCAGTGGGCTATAGGTAGTAAGGAAGTTTAATAATTTTTCCTCTGCCTTTGTTTTCCACATCACTGACTTCCAGCAATTAATTTGGCTTATTTATGAACTTTATATATATAAATGGAATCATATATACTTTTAAGCTTTTTTGATCACTTAAGTAATACATATTTATGTCAGAAGAATTGAAAATAGAAGTATAAGAGGAAAAAGAAAAATCACTCCTAAATATCAAGCAGTAACTATGTTAATTATGTTAACTTTTGATGTATATCTTTACAGATCTTTTCCCATTTTCCCATTGTATTGAAATGTGTGTTTGTGTATTCTATTCTAAAAAAAATATTATAATAATTATAAATTATATGTAAGTATATAACATAAATATTAACAAAATAGATAAAATATATAAATATAATTATTTGTAATATAAAATATATTTATTATAATTAGGTTATAATATGCTGGTTTGAAACCTGATGGTTTTCACTAATAGATAAAACATTCATAAATATCAAATCTCTGTCCTTTATATTTACAGAAACATTACACCCGTTTATTAGATTTATGTAGTTGTCTCTATCCCAATTTTTGAAAAATGAATATTCCTTTCAGTGGGTTTTGTTTTTAAGGTGTGAATGGGAGAGCCACAACAGCCCATAAGAACAAAATATTCTCTGGGTTTTGGTGAATAAAAAACATAACTATTGCAGTCAGATAAAATCAAGAAGCCCACTTCTGACCCAAAAAAGCCTGGTTCTTTGACCTACACAAGGACTTTCTCATCAGTCATACTCACCAAGATCCTCAGTTTCCAATTAAAAGAGTATTTAAATTATTAGTAAAATCTAAAGATAAATAAGCAGTAATGGTTAAGAGCATAGACTGGTAGTCAGACAGACTGATATGTGATATCAGGCACCTTTCTCCCTTTTTAGCTCACCTAACCTCCCTCTTTTCATTCACCTCTTTTTCTTTCTTTCTTTCTTTCTCTTTTTTTTTTTAAGATTTATTTATTTGAGCGAGAGACAATAAGAAAGTGCATGCACGTGGGCGCAGGGGCGGGGGCTGGAGGTGCAGAGGGAGATGGAGAAACTCAAGCAGACTCACCACTGAGCACAGAGCCTGCCACGGGGCTTGATATTTAAAAAATATGTATATATATAATATGTATATGTACCACTGGATTTTATTTTTTGTTTTGGAATTTTGAATCCATGTTTATGAGAAAATTGGCCTATAATTCTTGTTTTTCATAATGTTCTTGGCATGTTTTTGCTATAAATAGCTTATAGTGGCCTCATAAAATAATGTGAGATATTCACTCTCTTTCTATTATCTAGAAACATTTGGTAAGATTGGTATTCTTTCTTTAATGTTTGAAAGAATGCTGTGGTGAAGCCATCTCAGTTTGGAGCTTTTTTTTTTTAAGATTTTATTTATTTATTTGACAGAGACATAGCGAGAGAGGGAACACAAGCAGGGGGAGTGGGAGAGGGAGAAGCAGGCTTCCCGCGGAGCAGGGAGCCTGATGTGGGGCTCAATCCCAGGACCCTGGGATCATGACCTGAGCCGAAGGCAGACGCTTAATGACTGAGCCACCCAGGCACCCCAGTTTGGAGCTTTTTTTATGAACAAATGTTAAATTATGGATTCAGTTTCTTCAGTAGTTTTAGGCCTATTCCGGTTTTCTGTCTCTTCTTATTACAGTTTGGTTAGTGGTGCTTTCTAGGAACAACTTTTTTTGTTGTTCTCTCCAGCTGAGACTGCTGAAAGCTCTATTTTACTTTCAAAACAGAAATCTGTTTGACAATTTTTGCTTGCTTTCTCCATCTCAGCCACTGTTTGCAGATTGGCAAATGCCTTTAGAAGGGCAAGCAGCTCTGAAGTCAAGCTTGCTGCTTTTTCTTCTCTCTGAGATCTTGCTTAGCCTTTAAAGCCCTGCCTGTCTTGATAACCCTGATGTTTTGGTCTTCCAGCCTCCTGTGACTACAGAAAGCTCCGCTGTTTCCTAGGCTCTTAACTGCTCTGTGTCGTATCCTCTCTGCCCCGGCCAGTTATGAGTCCGTAGCAGAGTCCTTGAGGGAAAAAGTAGCACAGTATGGTGGATTCATTTTAATTTATTAACTCTGAGTTCTTGTTCTTTCAAGGCCCAGCTGCTTGACTGTTCTCTGATGCCTTGAAATAGGTGCTATTTTTATTTTATTTCAGCTTTTCTAGACTAGTTATTCTAGGCAGAAGAGTTGGTTTGATACAACCTCCCTGCTGAAAAATAAGGCAAGCCTCTTAAGTCACTCTGAACCTATTTTGTCATCTATACATTGGGAATAATACCAATTTCCTCAGAGGGCTGATTACGATAACAACAACAGCAATAAGTGCCTGGTGGGATAGTAGCACTCAATAAAAATGTGAGCTAATATTATGTTAATATATAATAATGAATTCTAAGTATCTCTGAAATTATAGTGTAAGACAGGATTTAGCACAGTTTTTTTCTATAAAGGGCCAGATAGTAAATATTTTAGCATTTGCAGGTGATACACAGCCACCTCCCTCCTCCTCCTCTTCAGTCATCCTTTAAAATGTGGAATCTATTCTTAGCCCTCTGGGCAGAAACAAGATTTGCCACATATAAGCCAGTGGGAAATAGGAATTTAAGTTCAGATTTAAAAATTTGTCACTCTTGCTTACTGCACTCCCCTCACCCAGAATAAAAGTTGAAGTCCTTATCATGGACCTAAGTGACCTTACACAATATGGTCCCTCACTTTATTCCCATTTACTTCTCTGACCTCGTGTTGTACTAATTTCTCCTTCATTTACTCTGCTCCAGTTACTTGGGCCTCCTTATTCCTCAAACAAGCTAGGCATGCTGGGCCTCTGGGTCTTCACACTTGCTGGTCTCCCTGCGTGGAATGCTCTTTTCCCATATCTCTGTCAGTTCTTAATGTAAAAATTGTCTTTTCACCTTCTCTAACATTTCAGTGCCCTCCATTACTTCCCTTTCTCTTTCCTTGCTTTACTCTTCCTCTTTAACCTGCTCAAAATCTGTGATTCTCCTTTGCTCATATCCGTTAGCCTGGAATCTTATGTTCTCAAAAATTTGGTCCCCACATGCCTCTCCAACCTTATTTTCCAGTGCACTTAAAAAAAAAGAAGCCTGTACTTTAATAATTTTATGTTCCCTGTACTTTGCTCTTTTACTGCTTTTGTACATTTATGTGCATTCTTTCTTGATGAGCTCCCCCAAATACATTTTTAGTTTTATTGTAAAAGAATTATTTCTCCCTAATCTTTATAAATAAAATCCTACCAAATTAATATCTCAGCTCAAATGCTACCCCTTCCATAAAGTTTCTGTTAACCATTCAGATTAAAGTTTATGTATCTTCTTTGAACTCTGATGCCACTTTATCTGTATTTTTATTTCATCACTCTCCATAATATTAATAATAGTACTACTTACTGTACTTTACCTCTATGTACCATACATTGCACTATGTGCTCTGCATGTATCATCAGCTTTAATTCTCCCTGCTCCTCTCCACTAAGTATAACTATAAACTCTGGAAGTAACAAGAGGCAACCAAAGGAGAATTCTGAAAAATGGAAAGAGGAGGGTGGACTGGTTAGGGACCCCAGTAATGGAGAAAAACTATAGTGATGGGGTTTCTTATAACCCCTGCCTAACAGCAAAAGGTGATTCAGGTGGGCTTATTCCTTCCCCAAGATGAAATGAGAGTCCTGCCAATAACACCAAGTGAGTCTAGTTGCTTTAGCAAGGGAAAACTGATCAGGAACTCCACTGACAATAAGAGGTCAAGGGAGGGATTCTCATTCCCTACTGAGCAGGAGACTCCCTTTACCCAGTGAGAGACTGGGTGGCCAGGGGGCCTGGCAGAGGGGATACGGCCACAACATGTGTCTAGTCCAGAAGGTGTTCTTTGTCCCTGTGGTCTGGAGACTCTCTTGCCCCACCGAGAGGTACCAGGTGGCTCAATGTGATGAAATTCCTCCCTCTTCCTCCCATCTCCTCACCCACAGAGGTAGCGGCAAGGACCAGTGGGAACCCTAGTGGCACCAGAAAACAATCAGACAGACTAAAATACCACTGTGAATGCCCTGAAAACTAAATTGTCATTAGAACCACAGCCTGAAAAAGTAGACCAGGACCTGCTGCTAAATCTAAACAAAGAGACCACCTCCCAATACAAAAGATTTAAATAGGACCCAGAGTCTTATAGGAGAATAGCCAAAATGTTGATGATAAAATAATCACTTTTCATACCAAGAACCAGGAAAATCGCAACTTGAATGAGAAAAAAACAATCAATGCTTAACACCAAGATGAATCAAATTTGGAATTATCTGATAAGAAATTTTTTCTTAAGATTTTATTTCTTTTTTTTAGAGAGCAAGAGAGAGAGAGAGAGCAGGAACAGGGGGAGGAGCAGAGGGAGAGGGAGAAGCAGGCTCCCTACTGAGCAGGGAGCCCGTTGTGGGGCTCTGAGATCATGACCTGAGCCGAAATCAAGAGTCGGGTGTTTAACCAACTGAGCCATCCAGGTACCCCCGACAAGAAATTTTAAAGCAGTATTCTAACAAGCAATTACAAATAAACAAAATAGAAAATCTCAACAATAACAAAAATACAGGCACACCCCTTTTATTGCACCTCACAGATACTGTGGTAGGTTTTGTTTTGTTTTGTTTTACAAATTGAAGGTTTGTAGCAATCCTGCATCAAGCAAGTCTATTTTTACTGTTTTAGCAACAGCATTTGCTCACTTTATGTTTCTCGAACACGTTTTGGTAATTGTTAAAATATTTCAAACTTTTTCATTATTATACTTGTTATGGTGATCTGTGGTCAGTGATCTTTGATGTTACTGTTGTAATTGTTCTGGGGTGCCATGAATCATGCTCATATAAGATGGTGAACTTAATAAATATCGTGTGTGTTCTGACTGCTCCACTGACCGGCAGTTCCCCCATCTCTCGCCCTTCTCCTTGGCCTCCTTATTTCCTGAGATGCAACAATATTGAACCTCAGTCAGCTAATAACCCTACAAGGCCCTCTTAGTGTTCAGGAGATAGTCACATATCTCTCACTTTAAATGAAAAACTAGAAATGAGTAAGCTTCCAGAGGAAGGCATGTCGAAAGCCGAGATAGGTCAAAAGCTAGGCCTCTTGCATCAGACATCCAAGTTGTGAATGCAAAGGAAAAGTTCTTGAAGGAAATGTAAAAGTGCTACTTCAGTGAACACGTGAATGATAAGAGGGTGAGACAGCTTTATTGCTGATAGGGAGAAAGTTTTAGTGGTCTGGATAGAAGATCAAACCAGCCACAACATTCCCTTCAGCCAAAGCCTAATCCAGAGCATGGTCCTAACTCTCTTCAATTCTGTGAAGGCTGAGAGAGGTGAAGAAGCTGCAGAAGACAAGTCTGAAATTAGCAGAGGTTGGTTCGTGAGGTTTAAGGAAGGAAGCCATCTCCATAACATCAAAGTGCAAGTGAGTGCTGATGTAGAAGCTGCAGCAAGTTATCCAGAAGATCTAAGCTAAGATAATTAATGAAGATGGTTACACTAAACAACAGATTTTCAGTGTAGGTGAAACAGTCTTCTATTGGAAGAAGATGGCACCCAGGACTTCCACGGCCAGATTGAAGTCAGTGCCTGCCTTCAAAGCTTCAAAGGATAGACCGATTCTCTCACTGGGGCTAATGCAGCTGGTGACTTGACATTGAAACCAGTGCTCATTTACTGTTCTGAAAATCCTAGGGTCCTTAAGAATTATGTTAAACATACTCTGTGCTCTGTAGTTGGAACAACAAAGCACATCTATTTGCAACGGTTTACTGAACATTTTAAGCCCACTTTTGAGACCTCCTCAGAAAAAAAAAGATTCAAATATGATGCTCATTGACAATGCACCTGATCACCCAGGAGCTCTGATGGAGATGTACAACAAGATTAATATTTTCATGCCTGTTAACACAACATCCATTCTGTAGCCCATGGAGCAAGGAGTAATTTTGACTTTCAAGTCTCATTATTTAATAAGTACATTTTATAAGGCTATACCTGCTATAGATAGTGAATGATTCCTGTGTGAGATCTGGGCAAAGAAATTGGAAAACCTTCTAAAAAGGATTCACAATTGAAGAGGTCAAAATACCAGCATTAACAGAAATTTGGAAGAAGTTGATTCCAACCTTCGTGGATGACTTTGAGGCGTTCAAGACTTAAGAAAGTAACTACACATGTGGTAGAAATAGCAAGAGAAATACAATTAGAAGTAGAGCCTGATGATGACTGAATTGTTGCAATCTTATGATAAAACTTGAACGTATGAGGAGTTGCTTCTTATGAATGAGCAAAGAAAAGTAGTTTTATGAGATAGAATCTACTCCTAGTGAAGATGCTGTGAAGATTGTTGAAATGACAGTAAAGGATTTAGAGTATGACATAAACTTGAAAAAACAACAGGAGGTTTTGAGAGGATTGACTCCAAGTTTGAAAGAAGGTCTACTGTGGGTAAAATGCTATCAAACAGCATCACGTGCAACAGAGAAACTTCATGAAAGGAAGAGACAACTGAATGCAGCTAACTTCATTTATTTTAAGAAATTGCCACAGCCACCCCAACCTTTAGTAACCACCACCTTGATTTGATCAGTCTGCAGCCATCAATATCAAATTCAGGACCCTCCACTAGCAAAAAGATGACAACTCGCTGAAAACTCAGATGATGGTTAGCATTTTTTAGCAATAAACTATTTCTTTTTTAGAGGCGGGGAGAGTGTGGAGGGGTGGGGCAGAGGGAGAGAGAGAATCCTAAGCAGGCTCCACACCTAGTATGGAGCCTGACACCGGGCTTGATCTCACAACCCTGAGATCATGACCTGAGCCGAAATCAAGAGTCAGATGCTTAACCAACTGAACCACCCAGGTGGCTAAATAAAAGTATTTTTAAATTGAGGGATGTACATTGTTTTTTTTTTTTTTTGACATAATGTCATTGCACACGTAATAGACTACAGTATGTTGTAAACATAACTTTTATATGCACTAGGAAACCAGAAAATTTATTTGACCCACTTTATTGCGCTATTTGCCCTATTGCAGTGGTCTGGAATCAAACCTGCAACATCTCTGAGGTAGATCTGTAGAAGTTATAAAAAAGAAAAAAATGAAAACTATGGAACTGAAAAATGCAATAATGGAAATGAAAAATTTGCTGAATGGGCTTAGGAGAGTGGAGATGACAGAGGATAGAATTTATGAGCTTGAGGATAGAGCAACAGAATTTACCTGATTTGAACAACAGAGAGGAAATAGATGGAAACAAGATGAAGAGCTTTAGGGATGTGTGGGACAATAACAAGAGATCCAAAATTCATATCCATGTCTGAGAAGGAGAGAGAGTGAGTTTAAAAGATTATTTGAAAAAATAATGGCTGAAAACTTCCCCAAATTTTGCAAAAGAAGTAATCCTACAAATTCGAAAAGATAGTGAATCCCAAATACGAAAAACCCCCAACAAATCTGCAAGCCATGTCATAAACATTTGAAAACTAAAGACCAAAGAAAAAACCTTGAAAGCAACTAGAGAGAAATGACACATGATCTGTATGGGAACACCAACTCAAATAACAGATTTCTCATTTGGATGTGGGGAAACAGATGCTATTATAATACAATTTGAGGAAGTATAGATTTAACCAACATACAGGAGGGCAGTTTTATAGTAATGATCAAATTGTAGCATGTTCATTTACTGTGGTTCAGCAGTTCAATTTTATGGGAAGCTATTTGTCAGAAGTATGCTTAATTATCTATAGTGACATATATAAGGAAGTATTTATTTACAAAGATTAGAAATAGCTGGGCTATCCCCTAGTAATAGGGAATGTTTTCAAATAAAAGCTAAGGCAAAATAATACTTCACAAGGAAAAAAAAAATTCCCCAAAGAGCAAAGACATTATTTAGCTAATTATTGCTCTAACAGTAAGTTATTACTGTTCATAACATTTCTTAGTTCTGAAATGTGTTCAAGATAGTTAATAAACAGTTTTATGGTGAACTCATTAAATACATTTGATAATTATGAATTTTAGATACACTCAAATGTAAGTTTAAGGTAAAATAAAAGCAACAAAAGTAACATTTAATTCACTGTTGATTATCCATGCACTCATTTCTATGGTAATTGAGTTGAACATCATATATATGTATTTTCAAGAAGTAAAAATCATGCCTTATGTAGACATCAATGAAATATTTATTCTAAATTTAAAAAATATCTTTCCTATCCACTCTTTAAGGCCAAGTGTGATGTTACCCTTCCATGAAGTTGTTGGTGACCATTCAGTTCAAAGTTAATTACTATCTCCTTCAAACTCTGATACCTTTTTTTCTGTATTTTTATCCTCTTATTTTCCATAATATTGATGGTTATACTGTGACTTATTGCACTTTAAATATATTCCCTTATGTGTTTTACATGTATTCTCAGACTAAAGTGTCATGTCAGCCCTTAATGAGGGAGTTTTTATAATCTCCATTTTAGGGTAAAGAAACTAAAAGGTTCAGATGTCAAATAACTTGCTCAAAATCATACAATTAGGATTAAAGTGTAGATTTCAAATTCTGATGTCTTTGCAACAGAGCCTCGTCACTACGCTCAACTTCCTCTTAAGTGTGTAAGGTTAACTGAAAGGACCACTGTGGATGTACATAGTATATGTATATCGACTTAATAGAGTGTTTCTTAAATGTTAGAGTGTTTTCTTAACAAATCTATAATATTATTTTTTCTTTTCTTTTCTAGAATTCTGCAGGTGGAAGTGGAGTGGATCTTTCAGTGCTAAATGAGGCTCGCAATATGGTGTCAGATCTGCTGATCGATCCAACCCTTCCCCCACAAGTTATTTCCTCCCTGCGGAGTATCAGTAGCTTGATGGGTGCTTTCTCAGGTTCCTGTAGGCCAAAGCTTAATCCTCTCACGCCATTTCCTGGATTTTACCCCTGCTCAGAAATAGAGGACCCAACTGAGAAAGGAGATCGAAAACTTCACAAGGTCAAGATACCGTAATCAGCCAGCCCTACTTACCACGTTTAATATTTTCACATTAAAACTGCTCCTTTATAGCTTAGATAAAATACAATTTCTTTTTTCAAGGATCAGCTTTTTTTATACAGTATATTGAGCTGTTTGGGACTTTGGAGGTGGTTATAAATCTCAAATAATTCTAAATGAGTATTCAGCTTTTATTCTAAGTAACTTGCCTATAATCAGCAGTTATAACTTCATTGGTTATAACTATTGATCATCGTTGTCACTGTTTTTAAGTAGAAAACACCACACAAATTTAATTCCAGGCCTGTATAACAAACCAGTGGTCCTGTCATGTCATTAATCTGTTGTATGATTTAGAATCCAGGAATTGTTGTTATTGAACCCCAAAGAATTGATTGTTACAATATTCATTTTATGAATTACATAGCATTATTTTATAAATTAATTTTCACATTTTCTTGGTCTCTGTTTTTCCCCCTTTACTCACTAGAGATTGCTATAGCCCAATAGATATTGATTTTTCCATCATTAAATATGGGATTAATTTTTTTTAAATATCAATGCTTCAAAATAGGATTTTCTTTAAGAAATAATAAATACTATTCTAAATAGGTCTATATTAGTGCTTGTTCAGAGGGCAATTAAAATTGCTTTACTTGACTAATCAATATCTTTATCAATAGCTAAAATCATAAACTTTAGAAATAAAAACATTTTAGAGATTATTCTAGATTAATTTATTCTGCAGGTAAAGAAACTAATCAAGAGAAGATAAAATTCAAATCAGTTAATTTTGTTCATTGTAATGTATATAGAGCTTAGAAAAAGTTAAATACAGTTTTGAAAGGATTTTGATCAGTTAATTTCATTGTGTTAGTTCTCAGCATTAAGATGTAGAAATGTTGAGAAATTAAGCCCAATTAGGGCTAAAGTTTGATAATTACTGATCATAAATCTAGATGATAGGTGATTATGTGATGCTTCCATTTTTAAGAAATATATACAGTAGCACTTGCCTTAGTCAAAATCCAATTAACAATGTTACTTAGTTATATGGCATTCTTTTTAGCACTCTGCCTATGAGAAATAGGTTAATCACAAGCATCAAAAAGTGACAGTAATAAACTCATCAATAAAATAACTAATATATTCTTGAGTTAGTTTTCACTTGCTATGTTGCTCTTCCTTTGTATTTTCCATTGATATTTGATGTTTTGAATAGTAGTTTTTTTCTTTTTTCAATTGAAGTATACTTGACACAACAGAAGGGCAATTTTTAAAAATAATAATTCTTAGAAATCTTAATCAGAAAAATATTACTGATACCAATATTATGTTTGTTACTATGTTTACTGTGTAAAAAAAAGTGTACTGGTACATTTTAGAAACATTTTAAACAATATTAATTAAACAGGATGCCTAAGTGCCTCATTTCCTGAACATTCTAGTTAATCAGGCTTATTTTTGGTACTGGAATCTACTGATAGGAGTAAGTCCTATAAGAACCAGGAAGTAACCCTTATTTCTTTTCTTTGTGTTCTTTAACTTCTTTCTTGAATTTCACAACTAATTTGTCTCTGCTTTTGGGAAAGAATAGAAAAAGCCTGATACTACTCCAGAAAAGAACAATAGCCATTTATGAAAAAATAATTAGTAAGGAAAAGGGAGTTGTAAGAGATAATTTAATGTAAATGTCTTATGTATGTGTTAAGAACTAAGAGAGACTATATGGACCTAAATTATAGCCAGAAAGGATTATGTTCCACAAAGAATGTTTTCACTGTGAGTCTAACTACGAACCTTTACAAAATTGACAAGCGGGGCGCCTGGGTGGCTCAGTCGGTTAAGCGTCTGCCTTGGGCTCAGGTCATGATCCCAGGGTCCTGGGATAGAGCCCCACATCGGGCTCCCTGCTCAGTGGGGGGCCTGCTTCTCCCTCTCCCTCTGCCTGCTGCTCCCCCTGCTTGTGCTCTCTCTCTCTCTAATAAATAAATAAAATCTTGAAAAAAAAACTGACATGCTTGGGAAACTTAAACATAGGAGATGCTTATCTCTGAGATGGTTTCAGTATTTGCTAATGGGGGAAATTCAGAAGAAGCAAAGACAGTTTTATGTAAATCTCAGTAAAACACCTATTCAGTGGTTAAAAAAAAAAAGAATACTTTGGTTAATTGGCTGTTTGGATCAGTTTAGAATATTTTCAAAAATTAAGGTAAAATATTAATGCTATGGTGTTCTGAGTTTAATTGTTAATTGAAAAGATGTACATTAGCCTTATACTGAAAATAAAAAAGGTTTAGGATATAGGGCTTATAGTCCCTGATCCTAAGCTTGACCTCTGCAATTGTTTTTCAGGGTAAATCTTTCATATTTGCTTTTGAGATTGTCAAGTGTTTATTTCTCATGCAGTGAGGGAGTGAAGTGTATAAAAGAATAAAGATCTTGTTAAATTGTAGGGAGTTCAGAAATCATTTTTAGTGGGAGGAACACTAAATAGAACAATATAGAATGTAGAATTTGGAGTAAATTTGACGTATTTTCAGAGTAAAGTGTTCTATTTCTCCTGTACATGTTAAAAATAGACTTTGTATTGATATTTTCACACGTCATCTTTACTAATACATATACAGCGTATCTAAGGGTGACAGTTTTAACCATTGTTACATTATTCAACAGGGACTAAATAGTAGGAGTAGTTTACCAACTCCACAGCTGAGGAGGAGTTCCGCAACCTCAGGTCTGCCTCCCGTTGAACAGTCTTCAAGGTGGGAACGCAATAATGGCAAGAGGCCACACCAAGACTTTGGCATTTCAAGGTAAAATCCCCAGTCTTTTAAAGAAACTTGAGTCCAGTGCATCCATTTTGTCTCTGTTGAATGAAGTTTGAAATAACTAAAAGCAGAAAGGAACAGTTGAAGTATTTTAGATATAGGTCAGCATGGGTAGTAATAAGGCATGATAGAGAAACTGATTCTTAAAAAGGAGGCTAACGTGTCTTCTCCAAAAAGTGCAGTACGTTGGGTACAAAGCATGCTGAGGCCTTAAGAAGAAATCAGGAAGGCAGTGTAAGGAATCTGGGGTCAGTTTAGGACAGGGCAGTGAGAAAGCTTTAAGATTAGTATTAGTCGCCATTATGGGGACAATCACAGCCATCCAGTGCACAGTGTCAAAAGACAGGTCAGCAGAGTGACTGACCTGTTAGGGGAAGAGCACATTCCCAGGGCTCATCTCAGATGTTAGATACAAGGTAGCAAAACTCTTCCAAACCGTGTTCGTGCTGGAGGACTAAGACTACTCATATATTCTGTACTCACTTGAAGAGTGACTTGGAACTGACCAGTGCTAATCCTACACATGAAAGGCATCAGTAACTCCAGCTAAATGAAGCTGGGAAAATGCAGGGGCTGAAATTTTCTGACTGTAAATATACCCATTTACCCTCATAACAAAGGATTCACTACTTTGTTTTTCAATAGTCAGAAACATAGTGATCTCCGGTGTGAGTTAGGAACTTCTCTTTGGTCACTCATCTGACTATGTTAACAGAGTTAGAATTAGTGTAATCTTTCTGTTAAACCACTGTTGTTACTGGGCATGTGTTATACTTTGTTTAGCTGGAACTGTATAGTTACACATTTGAAACAGCAGATGGCAGGATTGGATCATACGGATTTGTCTGTTAGAAGTTGCATTAACGTTTATATAGGAAATATGATCAAATAATGTTCCAGATTTTGTGTGATTTTTAAATTTGAATCTTTTATAATCTATTCAAGTAGATGAACTCCTTTTTTATAAAAGAAAAATAGAGTGAAATGATAAATAAAACAGGAAGGGATTGATGTATAAAAAGTATAATCCTGGAGAGAATGCAAAGCTTGCCTGGAGCCTAAACATGACAGTATTGGTTTTGGGGGGGTTTTTTGGGTTTTTTTGTTTTGTTTTTTAATGGAAGCAGGATATGGGGAAGTCAGCGATGATAGAAACTGAAAATATGACATATTTCTTAACCATGGGAAACATCATCTTGAGAATACTGTTTGGTTTAAAAAAGAATGATGAAAATGATTGCTTTTTAATCTTTCAAAATCACACTGATGTAAAAGCAGTACATTTGCAATTAAAGAAACACTTGATACAATGAGTTAAGGTCAGTTTTATCCTGCAGACTTAAGATGATTGATGTTAAAATAGAACCATGGTCCCAAAGAAAATTAATTCTGAGAAATGTTCATATAAAAGTAAATGTTCACAGATTCAATATGTAATTACTTATCTCTCATTAAAACAAAGCCGTATGCCTCATAAAAGATTTAGAAATTTGGAGAATAAAGTAACTTATGGTATCGTGCAACATCTACTTGAAAGAGGTCAGGCTAGTAGTAACTTTTCTAGTGTGCAGAAGCTGTAGCTTTTCAGTAATAAATTTCTTTTTTTTTTTTTATAAAGAAGATATCTTTTTTTTTTTAAAGATTTTATTTATTTATTTAA